ATTTTAGAGCAGCAACTTCAGAAACTGTAACATTTGTTTTTTTTTGTGACCATCTCAGCATGGGAGTTACTGTTAGTCCTCCGTGCTGTTATCTGTTACTTCTTTTTCTGCTTGTTTTTATTCCTTTTAAAAAGTTATTCTTTTCTGATCTTGTTATAAAAAGCTCAAAACATTATAAAAATATACAGTTACATAGTAAATGTGCCCCTAAAATTCCATAATCCAGACATAACTACTATAAAGAGTTTTAATTTCTCTCCAATTTGTTCTTTAATAAGATGCTAAATTATATCAAAATAAGTTAAGATCACAAGACACATGGTTTTGAAGTTTCCTCTTGGGGCACGGTGACAACTTTGCATGCTGGTACTCTGGAGGCCTTCCGATCTCCAGCTACCTCTTGTTCTGCCAACAGCTCATGGAGTTAACTCCTCCCGTTCTTCTTATTCAATGTTACAGTGTTTCAAAATACTCCCTTGGAGCACCCTTTGCCCAGAAAGACCTGTTTCTATAATAGATTCCTGGAGGTTTTGAAATGCTAGGCCTGATGGTATTCAGCCAGCCACTGTTAAGCTGTTCCTGTTTGCTCTACTCCCTGGCCAACACAGCAGGTTACCCACCGTGTTTTCTCCCAAAACTAATGTATGTATTTCAATATTTTTTTTCCTTTTTAATAAACTTTAAAACATATTTATTTAATTTATTTGAAAGGCAGAGAGAGAAAGGGAGAGAGAGAAAGGGGGGGGGGAGGGAGGGAAGAAGGGAGGGAGGGAAGAAGGGAGGGAGGGAGGGAGGGAAGAAGGGAGAGAGAATCAATCCTCCATCTGCTGGTTCACTTCCCAAATGTCCACTTCAGACAGGGTAGAGCCATGCTGAAGCCAGGAGCCAGGAATTCAGTCCGGGTCTCTCACCCAATTAAGACCTAACTAATATAGCCATCACCTACTTCATCCTAGGGTGCTTATTAGCCAGAAGCAAGATCTGAAGTGGAGCTGGGACTCTAAGCCTGGCACTCAGATAGGGGATTCAGGTATCCCAAGTGACACTGTAAGTACTAAGCCAAAAACTCTCTCTTAATGTATGTATTTCAAATCAAGCCATGGCTTCTGTTACTGAGTATGAGACACTACTCTCTCCTTTTTACTGACTTGACATTTCCCTTTCTATGAACAGCCTGTTTGATGGTGTTTGGTCATTTTGGACTGAGTTGCCTCTCTTTTTGTCTGGCAAGGAAATTAAAAATAAATATTCTTTAGAATTTTAAAGGCATCTTCCCATTGTCTGCTTTGTCCCAGGATTACTATTCAGTAGCCAGAAGTCACTCTAATGCAGGGTCCTGTGGTTTATTTTTGTTGCTGAAAATAGGAGGGATCCTCTCTGTCTCCAACATTCTCTCTCTCTCTTTTTTTTTTTAAGATTTTTATTTGAGAGGTAGAGCTACAGGCAGAGACAGGGAGAGACAGAAAGGTCTTCCATCTGCTGGTTCACTCCCTGAATGGTTGTAGCTGCTGGAGCTGAGCCGATGTGAAGCCAGGAACTTCTTCCTGGTTTCCTACGTGGGTGCAGAGGCCTAAGCACTCGGGCCATCTTTTCACTGCTTTCCCAGGTCATAAACAGAGAGTTGGCTCGGAAGTGGAGCAGCCAGGACATGAACTGGCACCCATATGGAATGCTGGCGCCCCAGATGGAGGCTTAGCCTACTATGCCACAGTGCCGGCCACTCCAACATTCTTTTTTTTTTTTTTTTTTTTGACAGGCAGAGTGGACAGTGAGAGAGAGAGACAGAGAGAAAGGTCTTCCTTTGCCGTTGGTTCACCCTCCAATGGCCGCCGCTGCCAGCGCGCTGCGGCCGGCGCACTGCGCTGATCCGATGGCAGGAGCCAGGAGCCAGGTGCTTTTCCTGGCCTCCCATGGGGTGCAGGGCCCAAGCACTTGGGGATCCTCCACTGCACTCCCGGGCCACAGCAGAGGGCTGGCCTGGAAGAGGGGCAACCGGGACAGAATCCGGCACCCCGACTGGGACTAGAACCCCGTGTGCTGGCGCCGCTAGGCGGAGGATTAGCCTAGTGAGCCGCGGCGCCGGCTCCAACATTCTTAAATTTCAAAATTATGTGCTTGAAGTCAGTCTAATTTCATCTATTATGCTGAACATCAAATAAGCCTATTCATTTTGGAAACCCTGGTCCTTGAATTCTCATCTTCTTGAATTGCTTCTTCATTGATGTATGCATTTTTCCTGTTTTTCTGTTTGCTTTCTGACCCTCTAATTTGATATTGCACTTCCTTGTCTGATGCTTTACCTTTTCCCTTTTGTTTTCCATTTGTCTTTCCCCTTACTTTTTTAGGACGTTTCTTTAGTGTTTTCTCCAATATTACTACCAGCTTTCTCACGCACATCATCAAGCTTTTAATTGCAGAATTCTTTTCTTTTCTGATGTGTATAGGTGTATTGGGATGTTTCACCTCCAACATTACAATCTCCCTAAATGTTGGTAATCCTGAGCTACGTGTGCCTGACTGAGAATGCAAGATTAAAACACTGACTAAAAGGCCTGAACATGTGGGTGGAATGTGCTTATGTCCGAAGCAGGGCTGAATTTGCAGCCAGTTTGAATTGTCAACATGGGAGCTCCCTGTCCAGCAGCCATCGACCTGTCTGTTCAGCCACTCTGGCCAGGTGGACAAGCACGTGGGTTCCGATGTGCAGTCGCATAACTGATTCTTGGAACCAATCACAGTAACATTAGAAGGGCAGGGGGTATCTTCCCTGCTGCTCAGGAGTCAATGCTCAGCCAACCCCTTGTACCCAGGATCTGGGATTTCCAGACCTAAAGGACCCGCAAGGTGTCTTCCCTCACGAATTCTGGGCTACGATGTCTTTCTTCCGATGGAGCATATCTGCCTTCAGTCTTTGAAGTCCTAAAAATCATTTATCTTCTAAGAGTATTACTTATTTGCTGTGCAGTTTTACGTTTTTAAAAACAAGCTTTTATTATTTTGAGGAATTTGGGTGGTTCCAGTACTCAGTCCATCATCTTGATTCAATCTATTGAGGCCACTTTAAGATTTGGGGAAATGTGGGCATTTGGTACAGCAGTATAGAAGCTGCTTGGTATGCCTGCATCCCATATTGAAATGCCTGGGTTTCCGTCTTGGCTCTACTTCTGATTCCAGCTTCCTTCTAATGCCCACACTGGTAGATAGTCAATGATGGATCCCTGGCACCCATGTGGGAGACCAAGATTGGGTTCCAGGCTCCTGGCTTCAACCACCAGCTATGACTATTGCAAGCATTTGAGTAATCAATCAGAGGATGGGAGATCTAGGTCTCTGTCTTTCGTTCTTTCAATTAAGAAGACTGAAGTTTGAAAAAAAAAAAAAAAGGTTTTGCACTTTATTAAAAAAGATTTTGGAAAATGAAAATTTCAGCTAATTTTTGTCAAGTAATTTTTTTAAGTTTGCTTATTTTCTTTGAGGAGAGGCAGAGGAGAGAGAGAGGTATCTTTTATCTGCTAGCACATTGCCCAAATGTATACAACAGCTGGGACTGGGCCAGGCTGCAGCCAGGTGCCTGTATCTCACTCCAGGTCTCCCCCCATACCCTATGGGTAGAAGGGACCCAAGCCCTTGAGCCATCCCCCTACTGCCTCCCAGGGTGCACTTTAGCAGGAAGCTGCAATCAGATTGTAAAGGAGGCACTCCAATAAGGGATAACATCTTATTTATTTATTTATTTTTTAGTTAAACCTATACACTTTTTTTTTTTAAGATTTATTATTTATTTTACTTGAAAGAGTTACATAGAGAGAGGAGAGGCAGAGAGAGAATGAGAGATTGAGAGAAAGAGAGAGAGAGACAGACAGACAGACAAGACAGGTCTTCCATCTGATGGTTCACTCCCCAATTGACTGCAATGATCAATGGGAGCTGTGCCAATCCGAAGCCAGGAGCCAGGAGCTTCTTCCGGGTCTCCCACATAGGTGCAGGGGCCCAAGGACTTGGGCCATCTTCTACTGCTTCCCCAGGCCATAGCAGAGAGCTGGATTGGAAGTGGAGCAGCTAGGACTTGAACCAGTGCCCATATGGATGTCAGCACTGCAGGCAGCGGCTTTAGCTGCTATGACACAGTGCCGGCCCCCCAAAGTAGCATCTTAATCGCTACACCCAAACACTTGCCCCACTATCAAGTAATTTGGACCCCTGAAGTAGAATTTAAGAATTTTACAAATAGTTATTATTTAATTAAGCAGTCTATGACAGGCTGAGTTTGGCACTTTATATATGCTACTCCTTTTATTTTCACAAAATTTGAAAGGTTGCTATTATCTAGTTTCTAGAAGAATACACTTCAGTCAGAAGTATAAAGTGTCAACTCATAAAGTTCTTGAAGGCAGGAATGTTGGGTTTAGAGTCCTGACCTGTTCTTTAACTTACCCATCTGCAGTAAGAGGGACTGAGGTCAACACAAACAATGAATTTGTTAGAGAGGCATGCTTTTAGGACCCCCACAGCACCCTTGCGTATGTTTATTATTACTCATGTTTATAAGTTACATAATTTCCAGTGGCATTCATATGTAACCGTTTGTTGTCTTGTTAACAATGAGTGTGAGAAAAGAGTGGGCGGGTAGAGAGGCTCACAGAGTTAAATAATATTATCCCGATTTCAAAGGGATCCCAGATAGGCACAGTCTTTAGTTGGATAAGATTATCACTCCTACCATTGATAAAGCTGAAGTGACATCATGCAGGCTGGTATGCATTTTAAGATTTTAATGTCAATAGTCTACAAAACTCACAGATTTCTTACTCAAACTCATTTTTATGGTTCCAACTCTGCCTTTTCTGCTTATAAAGGAAATGCTCCCCACCCCCGACACTCCTCCCTTTCTTCTGCTGTCTTCTACTTTTCCTGTGATTAAAAAAATATTTCCCTTGGTAACCATTTTCCCTGGTTACTTTCTTGGCTAATTTTCCCCACAAAGAACTGAAAGGCATTTATCCCAAGGGAAGCGGCTATTTGAGATTTTACTAAGAAGTCAGCAAACATTCTTTCACTAGTCCCTTCTGCTCCCTCTTTGTTTATAGAGAAAGCCCTGATTTCTGTTTCATTTTCAGCTGGAGACTTAAATGACACCAAGCAAAGCCTACTTAGTTTAGATTTCCAGGTAAAAAGTTTTAAATTTTAAGTTTTTACTAAAGCATGTGGGATGGTTTTAGTATTTGGTTATATTATGTTGCAAGTATGTTTAACCCTTAAGAAAATTCTCTCTTTAATGTATTTTAAAAGTTCAAAGTACGTATTATTCTGTTTACTTGTATTTCAGCATGATTATTTCCCAAGAATTTCAAACTTTACAGAACTAGGATTAAGTTGTTTTTGTATGTTTAGATAGAATTATGTGCTCCACAGAAATATACACTGGTTTGAAAACTTCATTCTTTCTCAGTGTCTAAGCCCTAAAGAAATACGAATAATTAATTTAAAATGTTTTCCATTTTAAACTTGTTGAGTGGAGTGGGATGTGGTAATAGATTCATGGCTCCAGGTAGAAGTTTAAACTTCTATTTTTTAAAGTTTACTTGAGAAAATTGATGAAAAAAATTAAATGAAGGAAAATAATAAGTTAATCAAGGTTTACAAATTACTATTGGGATAAACACAGTAAGGGCTAGGAAGATAAAGTGTCTTTGATAAAAATGATACTGTGATTAGACAGCCATAAAGTTTTATCTCTAAAAACATATTTGCTCCATTATATAGCTGTTCATTAAAATAAATATTAAAGGCAAAAATAAATTATATAAACAATTGAAAATAACAAAGGCGTAAGCATCAGTTATAAAATTAGCATTTAGAGGCCATTTAATAAAATGTATTTAAACATTTCAATAAGAGTATTTAGACACTGATTTTTGTCAAAATTAAAATAGCCCTGTAAATTTATTACTGAACATAGTTACATAGATTTCTGGATGAGTAAAATAGTCAATTTTTTTTTTTTTGGCAGAGGGAGAGATGAAGAGAGATGGTGCCAGGATGAGGACGTGGAGGGTGGGCAGACTTGCTCAGGGGGACACTCTGGCAGATGGTGCTTACAGAAGGCCCAGGGACACCGGGAAACTTGGGACCTCCTGGGTTTGACTGCTAGCACAGGACAGAGGGTCTGCATGTGTGACCGCATAGCATTCATGTGTCTGCCCAGCAGGGCTCCCTGCCTGTGACTCTTAGCAAACTCCAGCTCCACACTGTCCAACAGCCCCACTTTCACACTGTCCCCCTTGCTGCTACTGCCATTCCTTTCCCATGTACTTGTTCTACAAACTGACTTGTATGAATTCAAGTGCCAATAAGCTGGTGGATTTGCTACTATATGTTTTGCATGTTAGTTTTTCTAAAACAAAACCACATGGATCATAAGAAGTTACTCAAATATAGCTTCAGTTCTATGGCCTACAGTGATGCAGTAGGTGATCAATGTGTGCACACACTGACCGCGAGTGTGATGCTGAGGCCGACATACAGATAATGTACAACTGGGAAGTGCTGAGCTACGGTGACCTGGTGGCAAGCTGGAACATATACCAGGTGAAAGCTGACAGAAGCAGCTGATGATGGCTGATGGAGCTGTGAACAGAACTGCTGAGACCTGAGGACACACCGAGCAGACTTCCGCCCTCCCTCCTCTCACTGGGAGACCTGTTACAAGCACACACACATATAAATAGACAGCTGCACTAGGCAACAATATGGGGGTTGCCGGGTGGACAGAATCTGTGGGATCCCTGCACAGGTAGACAGAAGGTGCAGAGTTGAAAGAACAAGAATGTAGCCCTGAATGGGCACGGGGGAAAACAGGTCAGACAGCCCATTCGGGAAGGATAAATGATTTTAGATTAAAAGATCCCAAGAATGGCAAATTCAATCACCACTATGACTACTACTTTTACATAGGCACATTGTGGCAAAACTTCTGAAAATCAAAGATATGTTGAAAATTTGGGGAGAAAAAAGAGCTTCTATAAAAAAAAAAACAACGGAAATGAGAATCAGATTCAAGTCAAACGTCTTATCAGCAAGAGTAAATCTTAGAAAATGATGGACCACTATCTGTCAAGTATTACAGGAAAAGGATTTTGAGACCGTAATTCTGTTAACTAAACAGTATTTTCAGACATACAAGAATCCCAAGAATTCTCTGACCTTCTCTGAGAGAAGATGCATTTCTGTAAGGAATAAGCAAGCCTGAGGGACCTTCTCTGGATGACGGCTGGCGAGACAAGTCACACTCACTGACTTGCAGAGAATAACAGGGAAGATGGCGAAACGTCAAGGCCGGCGTTTGGGACAGGACCGAAACCCCAAAGTTGGGAACAGCATTTCTCATGGAGGCATCCGCGTGTTCCGAAAGTGGCTGAGAAACTGAGTGGAGCTTTAGCAGATTATGAGGCTGGAGAGAAACAAAAATCAAAGGATAGGGCCAAACAAGCCGAGGGGGTGGTAAAGAGAAGTGATGCTGGTAAAAATCAATGGACTTCTGTGTAATTGTTCCTTGGCTGTGGTGAAGCCCAGCTCAAATCACTCAACACATGATTGGTAGTGTCCTCAACCTCATGCTCAAAGCAGAGGTAACTCCTCCTTATATAGGGAACATGTGATCCTAAACTTCAAAGTACTTTAATAATTTTCCATATGCAATGTCTAGCAGTCAGTCAAGAGTGATCAGGCAAATGAGGAGACAGAACAGGCTAAAAACCAAAAGAAGTAAGAGCAAACACACCAATCCAGAAAACCTAGTCTTCAGACATAGAGGTGAGAGAAAATGTGATTAATGTGCTTGAAAAATACAAGATTAAAAATTTAAATACTGCAAATACAGTATTTTGTCCAAACTTGTTTATAGTTTCAGTCAGGAATAATATGATAGTTTTGATAATTTTTTGACTATTTTAAAATTTATTTTATGTGAATGAAGGTGGAAATATTTTCATTTGATTGTTGTTTATAGCCCTGGCCTTTTTTCCTGCTGGACTAGAGTCTTTTTACTTTGTATTTGTTGACCTGTTTAGTAGAGCCATTAAACTGTTGACTATAATGTAAATTTAAAATGTTATCTCAAAAAATAAAATATTAAAATGTTATTAATAAGTTAAAAGAATTACTGAAAACTTGAAAATTTAAAAATACAATGAAAGAAACAAAGTCAATGGGTGGACTTAACAGCAGATTAGCACAGCTGGAGAGACTATTAGTGAACTGGAAGACAATCAGGGAAGCAGCCAGATGACTCGTGGAGCAACAGGTGGAGGAAAAGTGACTGCAGGACTAATGAGGAGGCTGTCTACCTGCAGCTCTGGAGAGAGGGGAAAGGAAGGGAGAAAGCACTGGATGACAGCTGGGAAGTTCCCAAATCCGGTGAACATCGGTCCCTAAATTCAAGAAGTGCTATGAATGCCAACATGAAAAAAAGCAGGAATATCATAACTACACATACCAGAATAAAATAGAACCAAAGAGAAAGAAAACATCTGAAATGCAGCTAGGAAAAAAAAAAAAAAAAAAAAAAAAGGAAAAAGCAGGGCTAGCATTGTGGTCTCTTGGGTAAAGACGCTGCCCGTGACGCTGGCATTCCATATGGGCACCAGTTCGTGTCCTGGCTGATCCTCTTCTGATCCAGCCCTCTGCTTGTGGCCTGGGAATGCAGTGGAAGATGGCCCAAGTGCTTGGGCTCCTGCCACCCACATGGGAGACCTGGAGGAAGTTCCTAGCTCTTGGCTTTGGCCTGACCTGACTTTGTTGCAGCCATCTGGGGAGTTAACCAGCAGATGGAAAATGTCTTGTCTCCTCCTCTCTAACTCTGCCTTTCAAATAAATAAATAAACAAACAAACAAAATCTTTTAAAAAGCTACATTTGAAGGAGAAATAGATTGAGAGGCGACTTCTCAATAAAGACATTAGAAACAAGAAAGCATAGGAATAGTATCTTCAGAATGCTGGAAGAAAACATTTGTCAACCTAAGTTCTGTATCCAGCAAATACATCCTTTACAATTAAGGTCATATGCAAGGATTTTCAAATAAACAGAAAGAGAACTGTCATTTACAGATATAAATAAAAGAAATCCCTGAAAGGTATTCTTTTATTTTGTATTTTTATTTATTTTTTAATTTATTTGACAGAGTTAGACAGTGAGAGAGAGAGACAGAGAGAAAGGTCCTCCCTCCGTTGGTTCAAATGGCTGCCACTGCCAGAGCTATGCAGATCTGAAGCCAGGAGCCAGGTGCCTCCTCCTGGTCTCCCATGTGGGTGCAGGGGCCCAAGCACCTGGGCCATCCTCCACTGCCCTTCCGGGCCACAGCAGAGAGCTGAACTGGAAGAGGAGCAACTGGGACTAGAACCCGGCGCCCATATGGGATGCTGGCGCCGCAGGCGGAGGATTAACCAAGTGAGCCACTGGGTGGGTCCCCTGAAAGGTATTCTTTAACATACAAGATCGGTGATACAGAAAGCAGTGAGAAGAAACAAAAAGGATGCATAGGTAGATCTAAGTAAGAAGTCCTCAAATGGGAGCAGGTTACATTTGGCAATGTATGTAAACATTTTTGGTTGTCAGAGTGGGAAAAGGTGTTAATGGCATATACTACGTAGAAGCAATTATTTACTTTGCATCTTATTTGAAACGCAAAGAGATGGGGGAAGGAGAGGGGAAAAGGGAGGGAGAAAGGGAGAGGGAGATCCTCCATCTGGTGTTTCACTCCCCAAATGCCCACAATCTCAGGGCCCCAGAACTCAGTACTGGTCTCCCATGTGAGTGGCAGGGACCCAAGCACTAGGGGCAACACCTGCTGCCTCTCAGGATGGGCATTAGCAGGAGGCTGACTGGCAGTCAAAGAGCCAGGCCTCGAACGAACGAGGCACTCTGACACAAGATGTGAGCAGCCTACACTGTGTCTTAACTGCTGGGTTGAAAGCCCATTCCTGGCCCCTATATCAGAGTTTGGTAACTCAACAATGTATGTTGGGGCCGGCGCTGTGGTGTAGTAGGCGAAGCCTCTGTCGTGGCGCCGAAATCCCATATGGCTGCTGGTTCAAGTCCCAGCTGCTCCACTTCAGATCCAGCTCTCTGCTATGGCCTGGGAAAGCAGTAGAAGATGGCCCAAGTGCTT